GCCCCCCCCGGCGTTTCCAGGAGGAGAGGCGGCGACACGGGGGAAACAGCTTCTCAACCCTCAAGAAGAAATCGAGAGCAGCCCTCTGCAGCAATAAACTTGACATGTTTATTAATTAAACTATCACTTAAATAAAAAAAAGTGCATAGAAAATAAACATGTTTAAAAACTCCTTTGTTTTTTTTGTTTTTTACAACTATGTACACTTTTTTATTTTTACATTCAGTCTTTTGCAGAGCTTTCAGCATTTTTTTAACTATTAAAGTATTTCCTTCTTCCCTGTGACAGGGAATTAACACTGATGTACTTTAGACACGTTTCCTCTTTTTTAAAAAAACAAAACAAAACAAAACAAAAACCCAACCAAAACAGAAGCTTGGAAGAACACAAGGAAAAAAAAAGAAGAGATCTGTTATACATGATAAGTGGTCAAGAACTGTATTTCTAGAACATAACCTTGCCTTTGCAGAGCTTTTTTTTTTTTTTTTTTTTCTTTTTTTTTTTTTTTGAAACAATTATTCACCTACCTGTACTTACTAAAGAGACTGTTAAGTTCAATAAAAGAAACACCACAAGTATAGTTCTCGGTTGATAGACAAAGCTACTGTACCTCGTTAAAAAGATACCAGGAAAGCACAGAGCACATTTTTTTCCCTATATGCAGGTGGTACCCCAACATTCATAACCAAAACGAGAGGAAGAGAAGGAAGAAACCAAGTTGTACAAGTACTGACTGGGAACAAGAAGGGCCGGGAAAGGCCGAGCCGCCCGCTCCCGGCTCCCCGGCGGGCCCCGGGCCCGGCAGCCCTCGCCCCGGCGCTGCCGCCCGGCGGGGAACGCACGGCGTGGCTCTTTCCCGGCCGTCGTTAGCAACTGTAACACAATCCTTATCTATAGTGTTAAGAGAATTAAAAGCCATGGACCGATACTGAACTAGGCTTCATTACACGGTGCATTACTATATTAGTTCCTATATATATCGTATTTATAGTTATAAAAAAACCTTGCGAGTGTCGAGAGTGGACCAGTAGTATGGGTTTGAATGGCATGATTCTGCACAAAGACCGTCTCGCTGAAGAACCTGGTATTGCTTTGAAACAAAAGAAAACCAGAAAGAAAAGATACCCAGCCCTTTGCAATGACCCGCTTTTCCTTAAAAAACCCCCACGTCGGTTTGTACAAAGAAAAATAAACGCCCTAA